GCCGTGAGGGTCCGAATCACGATGGACAGAGGCACCAGGGGTCCAAAATGAACAGGAGAGGGGGCAGTGAGTGTGTCGGCTCCATCCCAGCTAGTTCCCCCCACTGAAATTCTGGAAGAGCTGCTCCCCAACCCCAGTGAAGGCAGGTCTGTGGCATGGGGGGCACTGTAGTGGACGCTGTGATGTCCCCTCAGGTCCCCTTTCAGGAATACGGACTTACTCTGGGCCACTGAAAGTGTCAAAGCCATAGCCCTCAGCCACTAGCCCTCTTTAGGGACCACCTCAGCCCTTGCTGGGATGGCCCGGTCAATGAATGACCGATGTGAGGGCATTGAAGGCCAGTCCTCACATCTCTGGACAGCTCCAGAGCCTGGAGGCCTTCGCTTGGTCTGCGTCGCAGCCTGATGTCTCCCTTGGCCCAATTCTGCTTCCTCCTCTGTGTCCACACCAATAGCACCTGCTAACAAACTTCCTGCTCTCTGACCTCAGAGCCTGCAACTGTCCCGCCCGCTAAGCAGTGATCTGCAGGGAACTGTTGGGGGGCCTGCGGATGGCTGCTCCTGAGGATCATAATTTGAGGAAGGAAACAGGGACAGTTTGCGGTCAGGCATGCAGGCTTGTCTATGTGGTTGAGGGGACTGGTTAGGCTCCTGATGCTCCCGGGTAAGTTAGGATGTTAACCCCAAATCTCAGTTTCCACTGATAACCCATGGTCAATTTTTATTCATGAATTTATCTTTGCCATATGTTAACTGTTAGCAACTTCTAGCCTTCTAGCCTTTTTACCTCTTGCACAAATGAATTCTATGAGCTCCTGCTGTTTGAGATAGTACTTCATAATTTTGGGTCATGTGTAATCCCTTCAAATTTCCTGGCATGTTCCACACAACCACATTGACCCTGGCACCTGAACACACAGGCCCTCTGGGCCAGGGGTGGGGATGAGGGGAAGGGGGGTTCTGGAGCCTCTGCTCTGTCCGGTCGGTGGTCAGGGCCAGTTTGGAAAGGGCAGCCCTGCATCCAGCAGTCATTACAGACCCACGCCTTGTCTTTTAGTTGTTGGCAGTGTCAAAAGAATTTATTTCAAATCTGCTTGAGACTGTGGTAAAACTCAGGTTTTCCAAAAGGCAATACACAAAGTTCAACCAACCCCCAAAGACCAGAAAACACAGTGTTTGCAATCCAAAAAATACAAAGGCTGTGGATACCAATACAAAAATTAGAAAAAACACTCCCTCTGCCCCCTCCGTGCTTCCAGTGGGACACGAACACCAAAGGGACCAAGGGCTGCCACCAAACACCAACAACTAGTGACAAAGTGGATGCAATGGGGGAGGCGGGGAGGGAGAAAACGGGTAAAGAAAGGCAGGAAAATGGAAGTTCTGTTGACAGCCAAAACAAGGACACGAAGCTTTTCATTACTTTTTAAATTCCTTTGCCAACGTTAAACAAACATCTCTCATGCTTAATACAACAGTTTAGTGCGAAAGCAGCAATTCTGCATCATGCATTTAACACTTTCTGCTCTGCTCACTGCACTTGCTCTTGGTGCTGGGGACGTCTGGGCTGGGGGTGGCCCCCAGGAGTGGGAGGTGGGGAGGCCTTCCCCAGGCAGGACTCCCCAGGGAGCACCGGCCATGTTCCTGCTAGCACGGCTGCAAGCCGTCACTATTCCAAACCTGAAGCTTGTGGACTCTCAGCCTTCCTGAGCGCCTGGCCTGGTAAGCGGGCCTCACCTCGCTGCCCAGGAGCCTCCGGGTCGTCCCAGGACTAGTACCCTTTGAAAGAGTCCCAGGGCTTCCAGATGAGTCTCCCCTGCAGGTCTCAACTCCCTCCTTGTGACTGAAATCCACGTCATTCATTGAAAAAGCTGGGGACCCACCTGAATGACAGTGCAGGTGAAGTCCCAGGGCTATGCTGAGCACCAGCCCCCTTCATCTTTGAGCCCCGTCAGCCTTCTAGGCTGCATGCAGGTGCACCTCACCTCACACTGAGACACCGGTTTCCAACTGTTCTCTTTGCCGAGATCTTTGGAAACAAAGGAGATACACGATGGGTGGCGACTCCTTAGGGTACCAGAACTTAAGGCAACCAAGGAGTCAGAAAGTGGGGGGTTCATCTCTTTCCATGTTGGAAGGGAACTACATACAGATGCCTTTGGGGCTAATAGCAAGAATGCTGATCAGCGGCCTGCTCCCGGCATCATAGGCAGAGAGTGCAGGCCTGGTGGGAATGGTGACATTCGGGACGTCACTCTCTATATTCATAGGAAGCCTGTTTTAAATGTCAGTTTTGCCCTGCAAGGCCAGGCAGCTGTGTAATAAATATGGTCCTAAGAGGCTTGGGTGGAAGACACTGGTCAGAGAACACTCTGGAAAGTTACCACGCAGGCTCGATTCATGGAACGTGAACCATTAGCCTAGACTCAATAGATGACAGAGTAGACTGTTTTTATTTAAAAAGCGTTATTCTGTAATCCTCGCAATATATCAGAGGAGGTAGGTTAGTATGACTAGTCCCATTTTCAGGTGGGGATACTGAGGCACAGAAGGATTGAAGAGGTTTGCCCCACCCGTACTTGAACCAGTATCAAAACCAGGTTAAAGTGAGCTTCTGAGGGCTGAACTTAGTGTCTGACCAATACATCCCACCCCAAACCTGCTCTTGTCTAGTTTAGTCCATTGAACATAAAGGGGCCAGGACGACCTGCTGGGAACGTGATGAATGAAAACTTCCAGAAGAGTCCTGAGATGTCCCAGGATCCGCA